AGATGTGCCCTCTATCTAACCACTATCAGTGCAGGCATGCCTGCGAAGGGCGACCGTTCGACGAAGAAGAGTTGGCCTGCAGGGACAAAACCCACTTAAACCTTTCGAACCAGTTGGTGACCATGTCAATCCGTCTGTAGATCCCCCCTGGCCTGGTCTGAAACCCGCTGGACTCCTGATTGGGGCTCCAGTGTCCATCCCCCCAGCAGAACCTCCGAGCCTAGCCTATGTAAGCTTCGTGTTACTTGCTCTTGAGCATCTCTGCATGACGATATAATCTTCTTGAAGGGAGGATGGAGCGTGATTTACTATTTGGGGCCTGTCCCCCCCTTCACCAACGTTTGTGGGGTCCAGGGGGTGTAGATATTGGACCACTCCTGCGGTTTCTGTTGCTTTGGAGGGGTTCTCCAGGGGAAGTCGAGGCAGACATGTCACGGGCTCTTTGTGATCATTCCATGTATAGGCCACCCAAACGTCACACCCGAGCTGGGCTCTGTTGTTCACATGTGTATACCCTTTATATTCCCCCCAAGTGATTGTCATCTCTCATTCCCAGCATAAAGGCGCTAGTCGGTTCAGGCGCATCTGGAATTTTATTGATCGGAATTTTTTGTGTTAATTAGGGGATTCCCTCCGACCAGTAGATGTGCCTTTTTCCCCTTCCCCGATTCAATAGCCATTAAATGCCGTTCCGTTGGATCGGGTTGATTAGGGGGAGGGGTCACAGGTCGCCACTAAAGATGAGGCGCAGGGGGTTCATGATGAGATCATTCAGTTATATCGATCGACCTCCTTCTCCTATGGCGTATCCCTTGGTGGCTAGGTGTGCTTTCCTTTGGTTAATCCTCACCACATGACCCCCATCCATTCGTTGGCAACAGAGGGCTTGCTCAAGGAGTGGTCTGCCCCTAGTGTTGGCGATGTCTTAGGGTTGTTTCCCCTCCGTGGAGGGCGACCACGCGTGGAGAGTCCGAACCAATTGCCCCCACTGCACATTTCCTCCTGAGTATTGATGATTTTGAGGCACTAGTTGTTTAGCAAAGACTAAGCGACGCTATTTGTGCCCCAAGCGGGAGCCCCCCTCAATAACCAGTGGGGATTGTGCGATAGACGTCCAGGCAGGTGCTTTCAACTTCCCTTCCCGCTTAGTCATGTTTATCCCTGTCTCAAGAGGAGACGGTTCATATGGAGACATACATAGCCGAAGTTCTCTGGACATGGATACATACGCCCTCCACTTCCCCTGCGTCCCTCAAGTTTATTTTTTTGTGAAGAAGAATGATGGAGGTTGCGCCACCGTGTATTGTATTACCGTAGTCCTCAATCAAGATCACTTGAAATACAGTTATCATCCCCTCCCCTGATTGCGATTATGGACGAGAATCATTACAAGCGGAGCGCGTTCTTCAGCAAAACTGGATCTCAGAACGCCTACAACTGGTTGCGCATTATGGAGGGAGATGATTGAAAGACAGCATTTTTTACGACACCACTCGGTCACTCGATGTATCGGTCGTCATGGCCAATACCGGGTTATGAAATGCTCCCTTCCAGTTCTTCCAATCCTTTGTGGGGACGAGGAATCATTCTCTTCTGCTGGGATGTTGTCATGGGGCAGGTGTAGTAGTGAGTGAATGGATCTTTGGACGACATACTAGTTTACTCTTCTACACGAGCCGAGCATGTAGCCCGCCCCTGTGCGTCGAGTTTGGGGTAGGCTGTTGGAAGCATGGACTTGTAATGTCGAGGCAGAGAAATGTCTTTTTTTCTTTCCAGGAGTATCCTCTGGTTTTCCTGGGCCATCGATTGTCCCGCGTGCGGGGGGAGATGGAGAAATGACAGCAGCATTTCAGCCATGGCGTATGGCCGACTTTTTCTCCAACCACGATTTAAGGAAGTGCAGACGGTTTTTATTGGGGTGTTTGCGCCAATTTACTGTACCGTCAAGGAGTTTATCTGGATATCACGGGGTTTTGGACGGGTGTGGCGGCCCCCCATACCTCGGGCATCCCTCTGAAAGGGTTGCCAACCGTGGCGAGTTTGGGCAGTGTTTCGGCTGTAGGCGGACCAGGGGCTTTGGTAAACTTGAAAGGACCTTTTCACCCCTGCTGCCGGTGCTGGACGCCAAATCCGGTCCACGTTTTAAGCGTTCCAGGTGGAGGTGGACAGCGTCCCAGAGGGTCGCGGTATTGGGCGTGTACTGTCCCCTATCAAACTCCAAGGCACCCCCCCTAAGTCTATTCCCCTTAGCTCCGGCCCTGCGCGCTTTTTTACCTTTCTAAAGAACTCAGCCCGGCGTAGTGTATTATGACGGTGGGGGGACAAGGGGCTGCTCGCCGTGGTTCATCAAAAGCCCTAAAGGTGCTGAGGCATATTGCTTGAGGAGTGGGGCCTCAACTGAACAAACCCTTTTTCTCATTCTGACTGAACCATCGTAACCTTGGAGGTACAGGAAAGGGCATCCGGGGCAGCTATGAGAGCTGAAACCGCGATCGTCGGAGGCCTAGGGTGGGACGCCATGGTTTTCTTCTCTTCCTGGCCCTGGTTTGTTGTTTAAGTCTCACACTTACAATCCCATGGGGTCGTCCCCCGTACGTAAGAAGGGCTAGAATTGCCCTTTCGACTGCTATGTGATATGCGAGGAGAGGTCCATTGAGTCCAACGCCCATAATTGCCGAGTCTGTCTGGTTGGGCACCGTAGTGTGGAGTTCGATGGCTGAGATCGCGCGGGGGCTTCGCACGTCGAACCTACCCTCCAGAATTGTCCGGTGGGGGGCGGAACGTACGTTCCCTCGATGATTATCGTGATCGTCTCATCTAATTGGGCTCAACGGCAACCAACTCCCTCTGGAACCACTGCTGGTGATCTTCCGGACAGTTTCAACTGCCTTTAGTGGACAAGTACTGTGTGGGCCGAACTTTGGCTTAGGACGTGAGGGTTTATTCCTCCTCCTTCTATGGGTGTGTGCCGCTCAGTTGTAAAGGAAAGCCTAGACCCAACCTGCCCGAGGGGGAAGTTTACAGCACACCCTCTACGCCGTTCCACAGACGGGGCCGTGGTCGTCACACACCTCTCGGTAGAACTTTGTCACGGACCTTCCTCCCTTGTCCCCCCCCTCGCCAGGTTATAGCCACTATTCTGGTCGTTGTGGATCGGGTTTCTCTAAAGCCTGTGTCTTCTCATCCCAATGAACGAGAGTCTCGCGCCCAGCTCTGCCGTGGCTACAGACGCTGAGGCTTTGTTTACCCAATACGAGGCCATACCCACGTTCTTCCTTGTGGGGGTGGTTCCCGGACTACGGTGTACCCTAGGATATAGTGTGTGATCGTGGTCAAAACCATTCCACCACGGGTTCAATTCTCTAGATCTGGAGTGGCCTTTCTATGGAACACAGGTTGGGGGGTCTCGGTTAGCCTTGCCGGCTGGTTTCGCCCCCTGAGAGTAATGGCAGGAGGTTGAGAGAAGTGAACCAGGAGTGGGTTAGGTTCATGAGGTCATATTGCCAGGCAGCAAGCAGGGGGAGTGGGTCCTGGATATATTCCCTGGGCAGAGACTAGCCCAGAAACTCTCGTCTTCATAACGTCCCGCTGGCCCGTCAAAATTCATCTATACTACCTTACACCGGGTTTCAGTGTGTGTTAGGTTACCGAATCCGGTTCCTCTGCACCTTTGGGCTCAGAGCCAAAGAGTCGAGTCCCCTGTGGTGGACGATTGTTTTCGGGCGCTCGGAGGAAGGACTTGAATGTGCTAGCTCGGGCAGCTGTTCATTTTGCAGCGTTGCCGAATCGAACAGGCGGCAAAAGGGCGAAGCGACCGATCGCAAACGAGAAAAAAAACAAAAACCCGCAAGTGAGGCCTCCTGTGTAATGCAACCAGTAGACCGGTCTGGGCTTCTCGACGTCGTAAAACCGCCACCTATCGCTCCCTGGCCCTTCCGGAGCTGGTCGGCGGGGGGCGGTTTTGTGGCGCCATTTAAAAGTCCGTGAGGAGATTGAACGGGGTTTTGATTACAGGTTCAACTGCCTAGTTATTAATCGCCAGCATTTACCCCTCGTTCCATGTGTCTCTCCCATCAGGAAAGGCCGGTTGGTAGCGGGTGCCACTCCAGACGTATGATAACGGGAGACCCTCCTCCGCCCGCCGACTGGCCATCCAGGGGAGACTCCCCTTCCGGGCGTACTCCCAGAGTCAATCCCGGTCCAATCGTGTGGGATTTCGAGACTGTTGGAGTGGGGGTTCTGCCAGTATCACGGGTCGGGAGTGGTGAGGGAGTATACGGCACCGAGGAACGGTGCTGGGGTGCCTAGGAAGGGGACATTTTTACGAATCCCCCCATCCTACGAGGAGTTCCAGCCGGAGTCATCCATACGCGTCCTGTCTCCGCGTCCCTCCCTGGCCTTCCCCCTGAGGCGGGTCGGGCGCACGGCTTGTACCCCAGCGCGTCAAGGGGTGGTACTGTCACGGAGAACCGCGAGGGCTTGCTCCTCCTCTTGCTCGGGCAGTTCGTCGTTCCTCGTCCGGAGTACTAATCTAACTCACCACGGGCTTGAATTGTTTTCCGAATGTTTGTTTGGTTATGTCCTAGTTTGTGCACCCTGTCTCCGTTTCCTGTTCTGTGATTTATGTCTCCTATAAGTAAAGTTCCCCCCCTGTGTTAGGTTTGCATTTTGGTGTTAGGTTGTCGCCTGTCTTGGATGGTAATGAGGTTCTGTGACCTTGGCTAATGTTTTTGTGGGTTTTTACGGCCGCGCTCTGCTGGTATTTTGTTTACGCCTCCTTGTTTTTTGGAGGCTGTATTTTGTGTGTACCTGAGAGTTATTATAAAGCATCTGACTTTCGCCTGTGTCCTGTCGCGTTTGACTCCCCCAACCACGCGCCACCGCTCCACATCATAACCTTGACAAACTGTACTGTAGTATACCTGTAATCATTGAAACCTAATAACACGAAACAACACCGGATTTGTCAACCCCCGACACAATGCTAATTGTACCCCCTCATGAACATCTCACGCACACGCCACAGAGAAGAAGGCGGGGAGGCCAGGGGGGAGGGGAGGAAGGGAGAGGGGGCGGGCCACGAAAAGGCGAGGGGACTCACAGTGCAGCCAGAGCGTGTCACGCAACAACAAAACAACACCACCACACACACGCAAGACAAGGCACACCCCACACACTACACACACCCAGAGAAACATAGGCACGACACAACACAGGAATAAGGCACGTACGAGAACACATACAAGGCGTTCTTAGAGAGTGGTGCTCGTTTTAATGGGTGATCTCATAGGTATTCCTGGGTTGTATAAAATGAGTCTCCGGTGATGCCTTTTGGGTGACCTACACAACCCAACGTCCTGGAAATAAGTGCCCCGGGACTCTATTGTTCAACTATTCATGGAACACCCAGAACACAAAGTATATGTGGTATTTTCAGAGATAGATGTCTCAGAAGATCATGTTCCTCTAATGTCCTTAGCAAAGGCTCTTTTGTTTACCATGACCTCAAAGATGCTCTACCAATTAGTAAATTAATACTCACGTCACGTGTCACACTTTTAAAAATACCCTTCCCCTGTCTTTTTAGTGTGTGCGTACACTTTTTAAAATACTATTACCTTGTCTTTTGGTGTGTGTGTGTGTGTGGGGTGTGTGTGGTGTGGTGTGTGTGTGTGTGGTGTGTGTGTGGTGTGTGTGTTGTGGTGTGTGTGTGGTGTGCCTGTGTGGCACATGTCCAGTAGGGTTGGACACTGTTCAATGACTGGTTGATTCTGGTCATGTGATTGTATGATGTGCAATGAGGGTCAAATGAGCACATGTTCACGTGCATTCCTTGATGATTCTGTGGTGAATTGTGAATGTGTGTGTGTGTACTATGTTTTGTATGTGGGGCCCAGATTAGGAAGTACCGGGGTGGGTAATACGTTCATTCATGATTCTGGTTGGTGAATGGGTGTGTGTGTGTGTCTGTGTGGTGTGTTCTGAACCCTTTAAGAGGAGGGACGGTCAGGGGACAGAGGCTATAAGTATTGTACTCAGTGTTCCACAGAGACAAAGGATGCATTCCTGGCCACTGCCACTATGAGGGATGACCATGTTGATGTTCACCTTGGTTATTCTAGGGTGTTTGGGGTTCCAAGGGGTGATGCCCTCTGACTCTAGGGCGTACAGAATATCCATGACCCAATGTCAACGGCGGACAGACGACCAGACAGCGACAGCCCCCTCTGGTAAGCATAACCCCACACCCAAAATGACCTCTAAAGCAGTAGTGTTGCCTATGGAGGCTTGATAAAAAGAAGTCAAATATAGGAACTTAATGTCAAAATTAGATAATAAAGTAGAGCTACTAATAGATTGATAATTGATAGTTTATATTATTGGTTATTTAATTATTATTTCCATAGTAAACTTTATTTAAATCAACTATTATTTGCTAACTAATTGCAGCTCACAGGCTGCATCTACACAGGTAGACTAAGTCTTGACAATTGAGCTGATCTGACTGGTCAAAAGACCAATTAGTGGAAATATCATCTGAATAAAAGCAGAGAAAACAGGATAACATGTAGCCTAAAACACCACTAATAGCAATAACATATTAGATACAATGAAAATCACTTAAAAAGACCCACTAAATAAAAGCCTAAGTTAAAAGGTTCGTTTTGAGCTGCCTTTGTTGATAGATTATCTGCGTCTAATGTCTTCAGGGCATTACAGAGTTTTGGTGCAGCTCTAGGCCTGTGTATTTATTACCAAATCATAATATTTTGGTTTATTAAAACAGGGTGGCACAATGTTTCTACTAATTGAATTGAACGGTGCATTTTTGTTCTGATTAGCCATCAGTCTGACATTCATTCACACCATGAACACTCCTCCTTCTAGGGAGTTTTTTCCTAGCCACTGCGCTTCTGCTTCTGCATTGCTTGCTCTTTGGGGTTTTAGGCTGGGAATCTGTAAAGCACTTTGTGACAACTGCTGATGTAAAAATAGTTTTATAAAATACATTTTATTTGATTAATATTATGATTATATAATTTCCGAGTAAATATCAGGTTAAAAAATATCTGCTAAAATGGGTATGCAATGCAAATGCTCTATTGATTTGATATGACGATCAAGTTGTAGCCTTCTTTACCAGTTAACGAATAGTCATCAATAATATTCATTTTTGTGTGATTATATCTAGATTTTATACACACACAAAATAACATGAGGGAAAGAGGGAATATTTCATGTTTTTTTCCCTGCCCCTTTGCTTTTCAGACAAGCAATGAAATACCACGGAGTCTCGAGGTGAATGATTTCAATATCAACGTAGTGCCGACCAGCGGCAAAGTCATTTTAGCACCAACCATTGTCCGACTCTACCCGCCGCCTGTCCAAAACGTCACACCTTCACGCCAACCTCCCGCTGCGCTTCGGCCGGGACTCCCTACCCGATGACACCCACTCACCCAAATCCACCCTCAATTTACCGCAAACGGTTTGGAAGAGCACAGGGGTCTGGCGCAACGGAACCGACGTCGTGTATTGAGTGTCCCCATGTCGGGACAGTGCCCTCCGCCACCCTGCCACAGAGGTTCGTCGGGAAAGAGTTCTACCGCCGGTATCCTTTCCGAGCCATGGCCTTTTTCTCACGCAGGTCCGAACCCGTGCCAAATGGAAACATTAGGTAAGCCTACATTGACGCATAGTGGTGTTTTTGTTGCATGTTTCGACCAATAACATAAGGTAGCCTATTAAATAATTGCATTATATATATATATATATACAGTGGGGGGAAAAAGTATTTAGTCAGCCAGCAATTGTGCATGTTCTCCCACTTAAAAAGATGAGAGAGGCCTGTAAATTTCATCATAGGTACACGTCAACTATGACAGACAAAATGAGAAAACAAAATCCAGAAAATCACATTGTAGGATTTTTAATGAATTTATTTGCAAATTATGGTGGAAAATAAGTATTTGGTCAATAACAAAAGTTTCTCAATACTTTGTTATATACCCTTTGTTGGCAATGACACAGGTCAAACTTTTTCTGTAAGTCTTCACAAGGTTTTCACTCACTGTTGCTGGTATTTTGGCCCATTCCTCCATGCAGATCTCCTCTAGAGCAGTGATGTTTTGGGGCTGTCGCTGGGCAACACAGACTTTCAACTCCCTCCAAAGATTTTCTATTGGGTTCAGGTCTGGAGACTGGCTAGGCCACTCCAGGACCTTGAAATGCTTCTTACGAAGCCACTCCTTCGTTGCACGGGCGGTGTGTTTGGGATCATTGTCATGCTGAAAGACCCAGCCACGTTTCATCTTCAATGCCCTTGCTGATGGAAGGAGGTTTTCACTCAAAATCTCACGATACATGGCCCCATTCATTCTTTCCTTTACAACGGATCAGTCGTCCTGGTCCCTTTGCAGAAAAACAGCCCCAAAGCATGATGTTTCCACCCCCATGCTTCACAGTAGGTATGGTGTTCTTTGGATGCAACTCAGCATTCTTTGTCCTCCAAACACGAGTTGAGTTTTTACCAAAAAGTTCTATTTTGGTTTCATCTGACCATATGACATTCTCCCAATCCTCTTCTGGATCATCCAAATGCACTCTAGCAAACTTCAGACGGGCCTGGACATGTACTGGCTTAAGCAGGGGGACACGTCTTGCACTGCAGGATTTGAGTCCCTGGCGGCGTAGTGTGTTACTGATGGTAGGCTTTGTTACTTTGGTTCCAGCTCTCTGCAGGTCATTCACTAGGTCCCCCTGTGTGGTTCTGGGATTTTTGCTCACCGTTCTTGTGATCATTTTGACCCCACGGGGTGAGATCTTGCGTGGAGCCCCAGATCGAGGGAGATTATCAGTGGTCTTGTATGTCTTCCATTTCCTAATAATTGCTCCCACAGTTGATTTCTTCAAACCAAGCTGCTTACCTATTGCAGATTCAGTCTTCCCAGCCTGGTGCAGGTCTACAATTGTGTTTCTGGTGTCCTTTGACAGCTCTTTGGTCTTGGCCATAGTGGAGTTTGGAGTGTGACTGTTTGAGGTTGTGGACAGGTGTCTTTTATACTGATAACAAGTTCAAACAGGTGCCATTAATACAGGTAACGAGTGGAGGACAGAGGAGCCTCTTAAAGAAGAAGTTACAGGTCTGTGAGAGCCAGAAATCTTGCTTGTTTGTAGGTGACCAAATACTTATTTTCCACCATAATTTGCAAATAAATTCATAAAAAATCCTACAATGTGATTTTCTGGATTTTTTCCCCTCAATTTGTCTGTCATAGTTGACGTGTACCTATGATGAAAATTACAGGCCTCTCTCATCTTTTTAAGTGGGAGAACTTGCACAATTGGTGGCTGACTAAATACTTTTTTTCCCCACTGTATATATATATATGGAAAACAGATGAGATACAGTACCATTTAGACTTCTATTTTCATTCCTCAGGCAGCAAGACTAATTATTATGATTTTGTCTCAGAGGAAGGTGAGACAGTGGAGAAGACTGAAGAGCTGAAGGTTGGATTTACTCCGCTGGAACTTTTGAAAGAACTCTGTCTCCACAGAAGCGTGTGCCATTTTCACGACCTGGGTCGCTTATGTTTTTTCCTAATTTTTATCTAGTATGTAATCTATGAATATTGTTAAATTGGTGGCATATTGTTATTTAATCATGTAAAGCACAAATTAAAACGATTGTATCGATTATACCGTTGATTTGGATGTCATTGTTTCAGCACCATGGATAGGTCCTAAGTGGTCTACCAAACGTCAACTTCTGAATGTTCCACTTCTTGAAACAGCAATGTAGCCCATCAAACAGCAATATTTAAGACCTCTATTATTGCGATATAGCTATTGTGATAATAGCCTATGCCTAAGACATAGGCTAAAAGCTAGGCCAGCATTTTACTTAGGCCTATAGGCTATCTAAAAACGAAAGAGAAGGAAGTGGAATAAACTGAGTAGGCCTTTGGATCGAGTGCTGTGCAGTTTTACAGCGACTATACTATTGCTCATTATCTAACCATCTATTTTTCCCCCAATCTTTTTAAATTGTATCGTCAGCCTACATCACTTTACCTTGTTGATCATGGTGAAGATCAAGTATGACATCATTTGCAGCGCAGCTCCATTGTGAGTTCATCAAAGTAACACAGCCCCATCTAGCTCACGATGCCGGGGACATTGTTGGCCGGGGTAATGGCAGTTTGTCGAGTGATTCACTAAACCATTATTTTGTGACGGCCACCTCTCGTGAGAGCTCCATCCCCCTCCTCTCAACTGCTCTCTCCCGTGCTCTCGCCTCCCCTCTCCTCGGAATGGAACCACCCCCCCCCACCCCCAAATAAAAAACAAAACAAAACAGTAGGCCTACTTAGCTAATGATAGATAGGCTAATCATGTAATACTCTAGCTAGACCAGGTGCTGGCTGGGCTGGAGCAGACTATTTAGTTTTATTTTGTAAGTAAATCATTCACTCTCCATTTAGTATGATATGTTACGTTTCGTATGATATGGATTAATTTGTGGATGTCCATCACCCATTTCATATGATATGTTATGAATTACAATTGGTATTATATGTTATGAATTTGCGAAACGTACAATATGTTACGAATTAGCAAAATGTATGATATGTTACAAATTCTAGCTATGTGGCTAGGTGGCTAACATTAGCTAGCTGGCTAACATTAGCTAGGCTAGGGATTAGGGTTAAGGTCAGGAGTAAGGTACCCCCTTTTTCTCCCCTATTTTGATCTTGTCTCATCGCTGCAACTCCCCAAAGGGCTCTGGAGGCAAAGGTCAAGTCATGCATCCTCCGAAACATGACCCGCCAAACCGCGCTTCTCAACACCCGCCCACTTAATCCGGAAGCCAGCCGCACCAATGTGTCAGAGGAAACACTGTTCACCTGACAACCGGGTCAGCCTGCAGCGCCCGACCCTCCACAAGGAGTCGCTATAGCACGATGAGCCAAGTAAAGCCCTCCGGCCAAACCCTCCCCTAACCCGGACGACGCTGGGCCAATTGTGTGGGAACATGGGCTTACTACCCAATCATTCATAGAGTGATGTCCAACATGTCATAAACATAAACGAGAATTGATAATTTAATTGCTATAGAGACCATTACCATGGGCAGCACAGCGATCCGGGACAGCTTTGTCAGCCTGGGGCACCAAGGACCCTCCCCCATCTCTCTCCCACCCCGCTCTTCCCCCCTACCTGTCTTATGATCACACCTCCATACGGACCCTCCCTGAGGAACACTACCTGTCCTTCCTCCGAACCCCCACCCCACCCCACGGGACCCCCGCTGTACCCCTCCTACATTTCATGAGGCTAGGCTGGGCTGAGACTCTAACATCATACCTGTTACTGTAAGAGTTTCATTGCAGCAGAGGCACTAGTGAGGTACAGTGCATTCTGAAATTATTCAGAGTCTTCCTTTTTCCTATTCTAAAATGGATTAAAGAAAACATTTTCCTCATCAATCTACACACAATACACCATAATGACAAAGCGAAAAACAGGTTTTTAGATTTTTTGGCAAAAACCCCCAGAAATACCTTATTTACGTAATTATTCAGACCCTTTGCTATGAGACTCGAAATTAAGCTCAGGTGCATCCTGTTTCCATTGATCATCCTTGAGATGTATCTGCAACTTGATTGGAGTCCACCTATAGTAAATTCAATTGATTGGACATGATTTGGAAAGGCACCACACCTGTCTATATAAGGTCCCACAGTTGACAGTGCATGTCAGAGCAAAAACCAAGCCATGAGGTCGAAGGAATTGTCCGTAGAGCTCCGAGACAGGATTGTGTCGAGGCACAGATCTGGGGAAGGGGACCAAAACATTTCTGCAACATTGAAGGTCCCCAAGAACACAGTGTCCTCCATCATTCTTAAATGGAATACGTTTTTGAACAACCAAGACTCTTCCTTAAGCTGGCCGCCCGGCCAAACTGAGAAACCGGGGGAAAAGGGCTTTGGTCAGGGAGGTGACGAAGAACCTGATGGTCACTCTGACAGAGCTCCAGAGTTCCTCTGTGGAAATGGGAGAACCTTCCAGAAGGACAACCATCTCTGCAGCACTCCACCAATCAGGCCTTTATGGTAGAGTGGCCAGACGGAATCCACTCCTTAGTAAAAGGCACATGTCAGCCCGCTTGGAGTTTGCCAAAAGGCACCTAAAGACTCTCAGACCATGAGAAACAAGATTATCTGGTCTGATGAAACCAATATTGAACTCTTTGGCCTGAATGCCAAGCGTCACGTCTGGAGTAAACCTGGCAGCATGGTGGTGGCAGCATCATGCTGTGGGGATGTTTTTCAGTGGCAGGGACTGGAAGATCAGTTAGGATCGAGGGAATGATGAACGGAGCAAAGTACAGAGAGATCCTTGATGAAAACCTGCTCCAGAGCGCTCAGGACCTCAGACTGGGGCGAAGTGGCTTTGGGATAAGTCTCTGGATGTCCTTGAGTGGCCCAGCCAGAGCCCGGACTTGAACCCGATCTAACATCTTTGGAGAGACCTGAAAGCTGTTGTCGTGATGTGACCTGCATTAATGTGATGACTGTTATTTATCGAATCAACTAACTGTGTTTAATTGTCACTCAATTAAAATAATTATGTAACAATTAATTAATTAGGAATTTTGGGCACCACGGAATAAGTT